GCCGAATGGGGAGTCGTGGGAGAAAGCGGGGGCCTTGGCCAGCATGACTTGAGGTAGGCTGGAGAACTCAGCCACTGGAGCTTTGAAGTAGAGTCTGTACTCAGATCTGCCTGGTAGGACGATCTGTTACTTTGGCAGCTATGTGGAGGCCAGGATTGCTGAGCAACCACAGTGGGGAGGACATGGGGGAAAGAGGGGCCTGCACAGTTAGAGCCACCCATGTTTTTCCCTTATGTGCACAGCATCCTCTGCAACACGTGTGTTTTCTACCTGCGTGACGGTAATGACCGCGTTCAGGTCCCCAGCCTCAGTTTCTTCATCTATAGCAAGGAAATAACGAGCGTACCTGCCACATGGACTTGCCGTGAGAATTAAACACAGGTGAAAGCTTTGTAGGGTTATTTCAATGGACAAAAATTAGAAACAATTTTTTTCGTTTAATTTTATGGGGTTTTTTTCTTTTTTTAAGTTTCCGTGGGGCACATGCATTCACCAGAGAGAAAGAGAGACAGGATAAGTGAGAAAGCAAACCACTGGGTACAGGACTCGAACTGTGGTCGGTCATGTGAGAGTCCAGCTCCTTAACCACCACGTCATGTGCTGGCCCCAGCACAGTATCTGTCAATAACATGACAACTGCAGAAACAGCCACATTATTATCAAATACTCACCATAAGCCTGAATATCTTTCCTCCCATTCTTCATTTAATCCCCTCATTTAACTCTAAGAGGAGGTATCATCCTTATACCCATTTTATAGACAAAGAACCTGGGCCCAAAGAGGTGAGGCACTGTGCTCAAGGCCATAAAGAAAATGCTAGAACGAAGATCAAACACAAAGGGCTGACTCTAGACCCCTGCTGTTAGTCACCAGGCTGAAAACCTTAAGGTGACATACGCTGATGGTATCTATTAAAATATAAACTGTAAGGCCAGCAGATGGCGTCGCAGTTACATTGCTGGACTCCCACATGGCTGACAGGTTTGAGTCCCAGACCCGGTGGCTTAAAACTCATGCCGGGCGCTTGTTCATGCCTGCCCAAGATCCCAGGAGGAGAATAGAGGAGAAGGGGTTGCAGGTGGCCACCCCCTACCGTGGGGATGATTTCTCACTTTCCTTCTCACTGTCTCTGTCTCTTTCTGTCTTTCTGGTGTGCACACATGCCCTAAGGCAAAAACCTCTTAAATATGTATGTGTATATATATATATATATATATGTACATATATATATTTATACACATACACATACATATGCACATACACATACATACATATATGCAGTTTATAAACTACACCAGGCCAACAGGTGGTGTGGTGGTTAAGGTACTGAACTCCCACATGGCCGACCACCATTCGAGTCTCAGACCTGGTGGCTTGCTTTTTCACTCTCTCTCTCTCTCTGGTCAAATAAAATAATAATGATGATGATAATAAATAGAATTAAATAATTCCAAAAATATTAAAATATAAACTGCACCATGTGACTCATACATTTTACTTCTAGATATCTAGCCCACAGAAATAAAGTCTCAAGTATATAAAGTCAGATATGTATCTTCTATCCAGCATTGTTATAGCAAAGAAATCAAATTACCTAAACATCCACCGTTAAGGGACTGACTGAATAAACCATAGTATACCCACATAATGGAGTCACGCAGCTGTTAAAAAGACAAAATAGCGAGGCCGGCAGGTGCCATGGTAGTTAAGGCGCTGGACCAACCATGGTTTGAGTCTCAGACCTGGTGGCTTGCTTATTCCCTCTCTAGTCAAAACTTTAAAAAATAATAATAAATGAATGAATTAATAAAATAAATAAAACATTTATTTCAAAATTATTTATTTAAATTAAATTATTTATTTCTTATTTATTTATTTATTTATCTTGGAGAGGTTTTTGCTATAGGGCACATGCACTTGCCAGAAAGAGAGAAACAGAGAGAAGGAAAGTGAGAAATCACGCCCCAGGAGGGATGGGCCCACCGCAATCCCTTCTCCTCCTTGAGATCTTGGGCATGCACGCACACACACAGGCATGAGTTTAAGCCACCAAGTCCGGGACTTAAACCGTGGTCGACTGCGTGGGAGTTCAGAGACATAGCCATTATGCTAACTGCTGGTCCCTAAATTATTTATTTAAAAATAAATAATTATTTTTAAAAAGAATTTAAAAATTTTAAAAGGCAAAATAAGATATTTATAGATTCATGGGAAGTGTTATAAGTAACAAATTAAGTGAAAATGAAAATTGCAGATTGTAGGGGGAAAAACATTTTGGAACTGTAAAAGTTTCCTGGCAGGTATCAATGTGCTTATATAAACACTAAAAACTTGTAAGAACTACAGCAAAAGTTATTTGTACTTTTAAGATAAAAGCACTGGCAAACTTGCTGATTTCCATGTTGAACTACTTCAGCGTAGTCTGAATTGTGTGAAACAACCTGTTTGTCTTTGTTTTTGTTTTAGGATTTTGCCATAGGGTGTTCATTTGTTCTCTCTCATGAGAGAGAGAGACATAGAGAAAGTGAGAAATCATTCCCAAGAGGGGATGGCCATGCCACAATCTCTTCTGCTCTTGGGATTTTGGGCACGCATGCACATCTGCCCAGAGTAAGTTTCAAGACACCAGGTTCAGGATTCGAACTGCAGTCAGTCATGTAGGAGTCCATCACCTTAAACACCATGCCACCTGCTGGCCCTATGATTTTTTTTTTCCCAATCCACGTAGTAAACTATTATGGAGTTCATGAGTACGGTGTTTTTGGTTCACACATATTCAAGGGAAAAGTAGAGAATAGCACTAGGTATAAAGTCTCATAAAATACACCTTTATAAATACTGAAAGAAAATTAATCTATTTTGATCCTGCTCAAATTGTGAGGAGGTGATACTTATTAACACTTCCTCATCACCTATTTTTTTTTCAAATAGTCTATAGATACACTCTCCTTTATAATAAGAACTAGCATAATCGTAATGAGGAGGCCTTGTCAGGAACTATATAACCCGGCCACCACTACAGGAAAACTGATTGGGGCCCTACTGCGGGGGTGCAGGCAGAAGTGTGCCGACCTCCATGCTGGGAGCCACTGACCACTGGCGTGGACCCACGTGGAGCTGCAACACACCAGGCGTGCGTGTGCCTAAGACCGTGACTAGCTGGACGGTCAGGAGGCAGTCAGCCTGAGGAGACCCTGTCGAGGGCCCTTCTGTCTCTTGCACACTCTCTCTCACATTCTTTTTTTTTTGGAGAGATTTTCACTGTAGGGCGCGTGCGCTCGCCAGACAGACAGAGACATAGAGACAGAAAGCGAGAAATCACCCCCCAGGGGGGATGGTCACGCCGCAATCCCTTTTCCTCCATTCTCCTCTCGGGATCTTGGGGACGCACGCACACGCGCCCGGCGTGAGTTTTAAGCCACCAGATCTGGGACACGACCCGCGGTCGACTACGTGGGAGTCCAGCGACATAGCCATTACGCTAACTGCTGGTTCCCTCTCTCACATTCTTTTATGAAAGAAATAAAATAAACTTTAAAAATGTGTTTTTAATTAGTTTAGCTGTTTATCCTGCAAATTTAAATGTATTTATGAAATTGCTATTTTTACCAGAGATTTATTTATCAGCCAGAAGTTCATGTTCATTATTTTTAAAATTAGAAGTGTATAAAGTAAATAAAGAAGCAAAAAATAAAAATTACCCATGATCACACCACATAAAAGAACAATTCAAGGGCCGGCTAGGAGGTTTAGCCCAAACTGTGCTGAGCTCTGTGGAAGACCAAGGGTTTGGTTTCCCATCCACACCGGGCATGGATCAACGGCCCCAACCATCCGGAAAGGGCTGGGGAGTGAGGGCCTTGCAGCGTGAGACCCTGAAGGGGTGCTGACCTTTCTTCCTCTGTCTCTTACTGTCTCTCACACTCATGAAAGAAACAAACATGTTTAAATTTTTCAAAATGTTTAAAGTTGTGGGGCTAGCAGATGGTGTGGGTTTAATTAAGGCACTGGATTCTCACATGGCCAACCATGATTTGAGTCTCAGACCCAGTGGCTTAAAAATCATACAGGGCACATATGTGCGTGTGCCCCAAATCTCAAGAGGAGGATGGAGAAGAAGGAGATGCGGTATGCCCATCCCCCGGGGGTGACTTCTCACTCTCCTTTTTCTGACTCTCTCTCCCTGGCGAGCACATGTGCTCTATGGCAAAACCCTAGGGGGAAAATGTTTAAAGGTCCTTTTAAAAAAATAATAACTTCCAATATCCAGGATGATGACAATGTACTTTTGTTATATAAACTGTTTCTGTTCCATCTATTGCAAACACATTTCCATGGCAATTAAATATGGCCCATGTCATCAGTCTTAATGACAGTATAATTCATTGCATAAACATCCCATAATTACTCTGGCGACACTTAGTACTGAACAACTGGGGGTTTGTTCACGTTGCTTCTGTTTGCTACCACACACACCACTGCAACGGGCATCCCCTCCACAGCTTCCCTGAACTCTACTTGTTGGCTGAGGGTAAACTCCTGCAGCAACAAAAGGCAGTAATGGATTTCTTCCAAGAACACGTATTAGGTTTGTTTTTTTCTTCATCAAAAAAGAATGAGAAAGAAAAAAACCCAGCAGGCCTCTGCATGAACTTTCGCTTTCGAGCGTGCCCTGTGGCCCCGGGCCCCTTCCCTGCACCCTGCACGGCGCCATCTGTCTCCGGGGGGCTGATTACCAGTTCATTCCTCTCGTCTGCCAAGAGGGTATTTCTGTCTTCCAGCTTCCGTATCACTGAATTCAGTTCAGCAATTTTTAGTTGAAATCGCCTCACATCTCGCTCATCCATATGTTGGTCCTAAAAAAAAGTCAAGATACAAGTGTACTTTCAGCATTCCGAGGAGCGCTCCGACGATTCGAAGCTCAGCACGGCCTTCGCGAGACGTTCACGAGGTAAGAGGTGAGATTCTTACTAAGGGGGCCGGACGGCACACCGCAAGGTGGGGCACACCTCAAGCCTCTATGCACTTGTGGGAAGTACTCAGACGTAGAGCCTTCCACGGCTCCCAAACATCTAAATACAGGGCATTAGGAAAGGCATGATGAATTTTTCTATGCAAAAAAAAAGTGACTTTCCAGACAACCCAGGACATGGCCCAGGGCACCTTGTGACCCAGTCCCCACCCATGCCTGCCTCCCTTCCAGAGGCCCGTCACACTCCACCTGGGGCTCCCAGGACAGGCCAGGACATTCCCCACGGCAGACACTGAAAGTCCGCACCTAACAGTGCCTAGCGCACTGCATCCCTAACAGCCTCTCACACACTGAAAGAACAAATGAACAAGCACAGAGCCCTCACGCCGACACCCTCACACCTGCCCCAGCCACCGGCTAAGCTGACTGCACCACCTCCTGCTGGGCTTTCTCTGGGTACCCTGCCCTGATGTCTCCGTCCTCTCTCCAGCTGAGCTCCAAGGCCATGGCCAAGTCAGCTGGCTCTTCATCTCTACATTCTCCGTCTAGCACTGGGCCTGGCACGTGGTGAATGCTCGCCAACTTGGAAAAAAAGGGATATGGAGGGAGAGAAGACGGATGAGCAGGAGAGTGGGTGGAAATGGGGAGGGTCAGAGTGTGGGAGGGTGGCCAGGAGAGCAGCAGCAGGGAGGATGAGAGGCGGCCGGCCCTGGAGGCGCCAATGCCCGCATGAGCCACTGGCTCTCACCTGGCCGCCCATGAGCTCCGCCATGTCCCCAATGCCTGGCGGGAGCTCCCTCTTTGGACTGCTGTGGTACCGCTCTGCCTCTTTGACCTGGACCAGCTGCTCGTCCAAAGCCTCCTTCTGGAGAAGCAGCTTCTGGGTGTGACCAGCCTGCACGCCAAGTTCCTTCTCCAAGGCCAGGATCACACGGTCTTTTCCTTTGATCTCATCCATCTGAAAAAGAGAAAGGACAAGCAGTCAATCACAGGGGCGTGAGCAGGGGGATCTCTCCTGTGCTTTGGGCCTTAGGTCCAGGGAAAGATGAAGCCAGTTCAGGGCAGCAGCAGCCCTAGTCCTCGACCCAGGCCCTGTCACTCTTACTCCCCTTGGGGACAGACGAAACAGAGTGATGGGTTCAAGGACTGTGAGGGGGCTTCAAACAGTTCATGGAAGACGGAACTAAAGTATGAGTTTATTTCCGTGTAGAAAAATGTTTGAAATTCATGCCGTGTTTTTATAACACACATTTTCCATGAACTGTTTGAAGATCCTTTGTACATATTCAATCTGCTATTGCTATAGTTTGAATACGTCCTCCCCAAATTCATGAGTTAAAATTGGGTGAGCCATTGTGAAGGCATTAACAGGACAGGAACTGAATCCAGCTAACTGTGGGATTAAGAGGCGGAACCTCTGAGAGGCGTTAAGGATCTCATAAGGGCATCGGGTGACGCCCCACTAGAATACAGGTGGGTTTAAAGGAGAGGGCGTGAGACAGACACGGACAAGCCCTGCTCTGCTCCACCGTGTCACCCACCAGCAAGAAGACCCTTTCAGATGTGACCCCTGGACCTTGCACCTACAGACCGTGAGCTGAATAAACTTCTAGCTCTGTAAGTTACCAATTTGGGTAATTCTGCTATTAGCAACAGAACTAATGAGAAAAAGTATCATTTAAATTTATCTATGTTCACATCTCTTCCTTAATGAAAGGAAGTAACATCCTGACCCTACAGACCCCTCCCAATGCTCCACCTTGCCCCCTCCCCAGCTCAGCTTCTTTGCAGGGTTGGCTGTCTCCCATCTCCACCTCCCACTCTCTCATCAACCCTCTCCGTCTGGCCACAGCCCTACGCCCTCACCAGACAGCTCTGGTTAAGGTTGCTGTGCCCTTCCGGCCATCGAATCCACTGGGTGGCTTTATGTTCTCCCACTCTTGACCTCTTACCAGCATCGGACACTGTCATCCACTCTCTGTTTCAAGAGCTTTTCTTCTCCCTGTCTCCCTTCCTCTCCCTCCCTCTCCCTCCCTCCATGATGACTTCTCCATTTCTCTCTCTTTTTTTTTAAGAATTTTATTTAAATTTATTTATTTATTTAACTTTTTATTTATTTATTTTAATTTGACCAGAGAGAGACAGAGTGAGAGGAAGAGAAAGAGAGAGAGAGAGAGAGAAAGTGAGAAAGCAAGCTACCAGGTCTGAGACTCGAACCATGGCCAGCCATGTGGGAGTCCAACGCCCTTAACCACCACGGCCCCTGCTGGCCCCCATTTCTGTCTTTTTCTCAGGCTTATCTTGCTCTGGCTGCCACTGAAGCCTGCATTCCCAAGGGTCGAGCCTCTTCTGCCTTGTGTCTTTTCCCTAGGCGCCGATTCTTCTCACACGGCATTAACCTTCTACACAAGCAGACAGTTCTTCAGATACCCCAGTCCTGACTTCTCTCTGAGCTCCAAAATTCTAGAACCAACTGGTCGCTTGATATTTCTGCACGGATCTCCAAGAGACCTCAGCCTCTCCATGTGCAGATCTGAACTCAAGTCCCAGCTCGCCCCCCAGCCCAGCCTTCCCCGGCCTTCCCTTGGACAGTGCCAGACGGTGGACACAGCTGAAACACAGCAGGCCAGGTGCCATGGGGAACCACTCCAGGAGAAGTTTACAGAGGAGCTTCAGCCCGTAAGTTATAACTTCCAGTTTTCCAGACACTAACCCAGTAAGAATCTGCCCAAAAAGGACTCTGTACTGGACTGAATAGAAAACCCCTAAGTCTGTGTTCTTCCTGGAAGCTCAGAATGTGTGACCTTACTTGGAAGTCTGGTTGTTTTCGATGCAATTGGTTAAGGGTAAGCCATTCCAGAGTAGCGGGTCCCTATGACTGGGGTCCTTATCAGAGAGGAGAGACTCCTGGACACAGAGGGGAAGGCCATGTGAAGACGAAGACAGGCTGGAGTGACGCAGCCACAGGCAACGGAGCTCAAGGCCTGCCAGTGAGGTCTTTCAGGAGCTGGAAGTAGCAAAGGGGCATCCTCTAGAGTCTTCAGAGGGAGCAGGTCCTGCCGACACCTTGATTTCAGACGTCTAAGACTCTAACGTTGCGTAATCAATTTCTGCTCTTTGGAGCTACCCAATCGGCCACGCTTTGTTACAGAGTCCCGGGAAACTACGATGTGCATTTAAAGGGAAGCTATTTCTTAGCACTGGAGGTTCATTAATTGACAAAAATCACACTATCTGCAGCTACAGAGATTTTTCTTGTCACCCTGGGGTTTGAGAACAGGCTCTTTTTGAAATGAGGTATACAAAAAAGTTCTGCAAGGAATGCTAATGCCTTAGTAAGGGTGGCACTGACAAAATGCCCACGAGAGTCTGCACGATCTAATGTCTGACATTACTCACCCAGCACACACCTGAGTGCCCAGCAGGAGCATGGACCACCTTGAGTGCTCAGCGGGAGGTAAAGCCACCGGGCACTGCCCATCTCAGCACAGCAGGAAGGGTGTTGTGCCTGGAGCAGGAAGCTATGCCTGTGTGTGACTTTCAGTGAGTCACTTAACCTCTCTCCACACCAGGCTCGAGTGTCCACCCAAAAGGACAGTAAGGACTGATGGGGACTGCAGAGACAAGCAAGCTGGTCAGGAGCATGGCCACTGGACCCCGACCGTCTGGGTTCCGTCCTAGACTACTTACTGGCTATGGCCCCCATCTAGTTACCTGATTTCTTCTCATGCCTCGGCTTCCTCCTCTGTGACATGGGGACAGTAACAGTAGGTGACTCACAGGAGTACTGTGAGGATTACACACAGTAACACACAGTACTGCACAGCAGGCATCGTGGAAACGTCAGCTCTGATGACCATGGTTACGTGGCACACAGTAGGTCTCGATAAACAGGTACTGTTCTTCCTAAACTCCTCACATTTAGGTATTCAGACACTGCGTATATTAACAAGTAAATGTCACAGTGGTTTGAACTGTGGTCCCCCACAAATGGCCCTGGTACCCGTGAATATGACCTTCCTGGGGAAAAGCGTTTTTGCAGATGCAATTAAGTGAAGGATGTTGAGATGAGGAGCCCCTCCTATATTAACCAGCTAGAGCCGAAATCCAATGACAGATGTCCTTAGAAGAAGACGGACAGATAAGGAGAAACACAGAGGAGGCCATGTGAAGACAGAAACAGAGACTGGAGTGAGGCAGCCCCACACCAAGGAACACCTGGAGTGACCAGAAGCTGGAAGACACAGGAAGGATCCCCCTCCGAAGCCTTGGGACAAAGTGCAGTCATGCAGAGCCTTGCCTTAGGGCTTCTGGTCTCCAGAACCGCAGAGAGTAAGTTCCTGCTGGCTTAAGCCATTACACTGAGGATCATCTTTTAAGGCAGCCACAGGGAACTAGTTCAGAGTTCTCAGCACACTCACACTGTGTGTCAAGACAATTCAATCTGACACCCTCACTTCTAAGTCACGCACCTTCATTCAGACACAGGCTGCCAGGGCGGGGAGTACAGGTTACAAGTCCTGTTCTGGAGGCAGATGGGAGTCTGTCCAAATCCCCACCCCTTCTACTGTGTGACCTCAGGCTGGTTGGGCCACCTCCCTGACTCAGCTTCTGACTCCATAACATGGACACTCTAAGAAAACTAGAGCCTGCCCTGTTGAATTGTCAGGGGGCTCTGGGGTCAGCCATGGAAGAAGTTAGCACAGAGCCTGGCAGATTACAGGCATGCGAACGACACTAGCTGTCACCATTAACCTCTTTGAGCTCCTAGTTGACACCGGCTATCTTATTTTAAACGCAGACCACCTCAAACTGAAATAAAATGAGATTATACAGGGAGGGAAGTGGCACCCCACATTTCAGACTGGGCGGTATTCAAGCTGAGTGCCACAGCTCTATCCAGCTCTTTGAGGTTCCTTTCTTTGCAAGCCCAAAGGATGCATTACACACTCACACACACTCACTCACACTCACACACACATACACACCCTAGATCCCCGGGAGAGGGTGCCTGGTGCAGTTTCTCCTACGCAGCCTCAGAACGTGCCCACTGCTCCCCCTAGTGATGATCCACCAGCATCTACCTGCTTTGGCCAAATCCAAAACCCGGGAGTCTCACAATTCCAAATAGACAGGAGCACCCACTGCTGAGAAAAAGCTGGAAGGATGTGGAAAACACTGACAATGTAGAAATGTAGAGGCCAACCAAGAGGCAGTAAGAGTTTACGTGGAAGGAGTTCATTCATTTAAGTCACTCAAACTGCTTTAGTTAATTCAACAGATACAGAGTGAGAACCATCTATGGGTACAGGGGAAGATCAATGAGCAGAACACCAGACTGCCCGCCCTGGGGCTTCCATTCTAGTGGGAGAGGGAGGCAATGAACGAATAAATAGACGAGCCCAGTAGGAGGTTAGAGAGTGGTCAGTGCTAGAAAACAAGGAAAGCAGGGGAACTGGTAGTGACAGCGGGGGTGTTAACTGGGGCAAGGTAGGGTTCTAGTTGCCATGTTAAGATGAGATCTTCCTGTATTAACCAGGTGACGCGTAAATTCAATGACAAATGGATCCCAGCTGCCCACTTCCTGATCTGCACTGGTGCCCAGAAGTGGAGCCCTGGCTCCACACCACACCACACCACACCACAAGCAGAACATCTCCAGAATCCCAAACTTTCAACCTAGAGGAGCAGCCACTCCCCATTATCTCAGTGAGAGCAGAGGGCTTGCGCCCCGATAGCCATGAAAAATATTTCCTGGGATTCTCAGCCAGAGAGATGACATCCAGGAATGCATGGGCAATGCAGAATACATTCTGGAGCCAATATTTTCTAGATTGCTACCTTTCCAGAGCCAGAGTTTTGAGGTTCCAGAGGTTAAGAGACTGGCTGGGTTCACCCAGCTAACGGCAGGCATTCCAGCTATTTGTTGACTTTAAATCTGGCTCCTAGGGGACTAGC